TTTGGCAGGTAATGAAGTCACGTCGCTTGTTTTCGGTCGAAGCCCGTCGTCGGCTGATGTAGATGCGAAACATTCAGCAATGTCGGCGACAGTGTAGGTGAAAGCGATAACGGTGTGACTAAACAGGTGCCGGTACTCGTCACTGAAATTAGTCACAAGTAGGGCAGAGTGTCCATCATGAAGCGTCATGATGCTGCGTGTAGCGCAGACACGTAGCGCGAACAAAAGCACCAAGTTGCCTTCGGCGACAACCTCATCATGCCGTAGCTTGTCGGACACCACATCAACTAGGACGCTGGAACGCGGCGGTAACGTGATACTGTCGGCAGAAACGCGAAACGTGCTGTCACGGCTGTCGTCGAATTTGTCGGTAGATCTAGCTGTCGAAAGCCTCACGGTACGCTCCCGAAGATCCATAATAGCGCCGTGTTCCCGCAAAAAGTAGACTCCCAGAATTAGGTCTCGGGAACAGTTACAAAGTACGAGGCAGCTGGCGAGAAATGTACGTCCACGAATGCTCACCCTGATAGTGCACATGCCGATAGGGGTGACTACATGTTCGCCGGCATTACAAATTTGTGTTTCGTACCAAGGCATAACAACTTTCTTCACGTGCAGCTGCTAGTTTTCGGCTCATGAGGGAATAGTCTGCACCTGTTTCCAATAATGCACTAATGTCGTGGCGACCGTCGACTACCACATGTATCTCCAAAGAAAATCTGCTTCCGGCTTTCATCGCTTTTGTCGGTGAATAGCCGTGGGTTCGTGCTTGCGTCGATTGGAGGCCTTGCTTGCGTTGAGTGTCAGCGGCCTCGCGACACAAAGTCACTGTCGTTAGTTTTTCCACCTAGGGCTTGGTGAGCACGCCTGCGCTGCCCCTGGGAGGCTGCGAAAATTTGGAGATCATCTTGGGGATGGGGACCGCGACTGCCGCCGCAGTGGCATGCGCTGCTGTGAGAGGTAATCTTTAATAGCTCTCAGTCTTTCACCGAATCTCGGCCGTGGCGAGTCGACGGCGAAACACTGTAGGCCAAGGCGGCGATAGGGACATTCCTGGTACACATGTCCTGCTTCACCACAGGGATAACAGAGTGGTCGTCTGTCCGGTGTGTACCATACGTCGGATTTTCTTGGAAGTGGCTGTCGATTTTCCAAGTAGTGAATTGGCTGCAGCGAAGGAAGTGTATCCTGAGGCATAGGGTTAACGAAGCGGGGTGAAGCAGGAATATATAGACTGACAGCTTCCCCATATGCTGCACGGCGTGGCTCCGTCTGGACAGGCGGAACTTAACTGGAGGGCGGCACTTGCAGAGCTTGTACTTCGTTTCTGACGATGCTGCATATGGACCCCCCAGTAGGTTGGGACTGGCACTCACTCTTTTGTAGCTCATCGTGCACCACCGATCGAATGAGGTCGCAGAAAGATTCGATGTTAATGCTGCTTCCTGATTCAATGTTGATGCTGCTTCCTACACCTCCAATCTGGCCTACTGATAAAGCGACACTCACTTGACCGTCGTACATAGTAGAGCGCTACTGCAGCACTTGTTCTATAGTTGTGGCTTGGTCAGAAACTCTGCCACTGTCTTTGGGGGACAGCGAACAAGGCCAGCAAAAAGCTGCTACTTCACTCCTCGCAATAAATGGCGGAGCTTCTTTACTTCTGCTATGTCGGGGTCGGCTCAACAAAAGAGGCCCGTCATGTCCTCAACATGCATCATGACGCTCTCGTCCGGGATTTGTATGCGTGACTGAATCGCTTGCTCGGCTCGTTCACGGCGATTGGGATTGGCCCAGTTTGCCAGCAACTGACGACGAAAAGCATACGACGAGGAAAATGGCTCACGGTTTTCGTACCAAGTAAGAACGCCGTCCTCCAGGCTGAAATACACGTTTCTCATCTTGCCGAAGTCAGTCCAATCATTGCAATCCGAGACCCGTTCAAACTGAGCTAGCCAGTCCTCGACATCCTCCAAGACGGAACCGTAGAACACCTTCCGCAGCGTAGTAGGCGCTGCTGCAGCGCCTTCCACAGCGTTTGGGGATGTCACTGACGTCATCTCGGGCATAGGTTCAAACTCAGGAGGTAGCCCTCAGAGTCTTCGGTTTGTGCGGTGGACAGGTGTTGTCACTACAAGTACCGGGCTACCTGGAGGCGTTTGGAACATCGGCTGGGAGTTACCGAGCGCATCCACCAGTTGTCACGTGTTACGAAAGGTATTTTACTCAGAAGAACTGAGCCGGCAGGGAGACGCTCAGAAAACCGGCAAGATGGCTGACTCGATAACAACTAGCCAGTGCGCGCACTGCCCCATAACATCTTCTTCCATTCTACCGGGCAGCCATGGCTCGCGCTCGCCGTACCTATTAGGCAAGTGGCAATATGTTAGTAGTGATTTAGATTGTAGTTATTTCTACTTGTTTGCTACATTTTTGTATATTTATATATAGGGGGTGTGTTGTGCGGGTGTTTATAAAATGGGTTTTGTTGTTAACGGAGTCTTGTCTCAGTTCATCCCACGCAGCAGCCTCCCGTAATCCGTGACCACAAATTATCGGTGATATTCATAATAAGTTTGGAATGGATGCATACGACGACTTTTTCTGTAGAACTGTCTCTAATACTCAAGATCAGGTGCGCTGAATAGTGTGTTTTTTTTTTCGTTGTTTCAAAATGGGAATGAAACATGGCAATTTTGAAATAGACTGTAGTCACAACCTTTTCAAATAAGAAACAGCCTTTCCATTTTACATATACTAATGATGGTGTAGTTCTGTAAGTGTTATCTAGTTTAAATACATTGGTGTAACTCTCACAAGCTATTGAAAATGGCATATGCATGTCGAAACAATCTCCAACAAAGCCTTCGAAAACTTTGGTGTCTCCAATGCACGTTAAGCAACTCGACAAAAGAATCCTGACTTACAGCGCACAAGACTTCAGTCAGTCTCGAATGTGCGTTGGCTGTTTGGTGGCCTCGCCACAACATGACATAAGTTTATTACCATCTGTTTAAAAAAAAATGGCAGCATATTCACGGGGTGAATGATGGAGAGGGGGCAAAGCATCTGTCCCTCCATTCGTTCTTGCTTCCATTTGTCCATGCATCCGTCTGTGTTATCATCCGTGCGTCCATCTGTCCATCTGTGCGTGCATCTGTTCATGCATCCATCCCTGCGTTCGTCCATGCATCTGCTTCTGGGTCCGTCTGTGCAACCATTCCTGTGTCCGTCCATGCATCTGTCTGTGTGTTCGTTTGTCCATCTAGGTAGTCAACACTCCAAGTACCATCATCTCAAATCTTTCCATCATATATTCCGCATATAGAAGCACCGCCATCCAGCGGACATTCCAACTACTAAACGAGAGGTGGCACACGCACACTTCCTTACGGCTTGCGCTTCGTGTCTACTTCCCACCTTTAACCACCTCGAGTTCATGGTATATACTAGTTCACTGTATTCATGGCACTGCGGCCCAACGCTCGCTAAACCTTTCTAAAACAAAGGAGGCTACGCTCAGCGAGTATAACGTAGCAACCCTTTCTTGTCAGATAGTGCTCAATATACATGCCAATGGCTGCTAATGGGGAATGAGAGACAGGAGAATTCAGCTTTTAGTTAACGCGCACGCTGCAAATTTTTTATTGTTCAACAGTGCTCAAGAGAAATCTCTCACTGGCACCACCTTGCAGGTCAAAGCGTAAGACATGTTACGTACTACGACGAGGGACAAATGGGTGCCGCTTTAATAAGCTTCGCCCCTAAAAATGCAATAGTGCTTATACTTTGTCGCTATGACCAGCTTTCCTCGCCTTCTTCACATGTGCATGTTTTATCGCTGCAGCCCTTCTTGAACATTGTTGCACTTGCAATCATGTCATTCTCGTGCATAAACAAGAAGGTTTACACCTGTTCGAATGTTCTAGCACCCATATTCTTCGTTGCATCTTCTTCTCACCGTACACAGAAATTTGATCCTTTAAATATTGTGCCCATTAGATCGATTCAGAATTTTTCCGTTTTCTTTTGTTTGTTTTTTGCTTTTCTATAGTATGTGCGCCATGGGAATACGCTTGATGGATATCTGCGTAGACTTGGTGCTGAGCACTTAGAAAATAGAATTGCATAAACATGATAGATATGTGCGCTGTAACGTATCAAAACCACCTTATGATTAAGAGAGACGCCACTGTGGAGGGCTCCAAAAATTTCGACCACATAGGGTTCTTTAAGGTGCACTCATATCTGAGCACACAGGCCTACAGCATTTCCGCCTCCATCGAAAATGCAGCCGCCGTAGCCGCCACAGTCGGGATTCGATTTCGCGACCGCAGCCGAGTCAGCAGCCGAGTACCTTAGCCACTGGACTACCGCAGCGGGACTTGTGTGAACAAGTAATTTGTCAAATTGTATTTTTTTCAAGGTGCTGAATATTTATATTTACACCTGCTATGTCTTGAAAACTGAGATGTCTTTGTAAACAAATAACATTAAGACATGCTGCTATTATAGTAATCGCTTTGCCTTTTTGGGGAACATTTTTCTTTCGAAATTCAAGGGACAAGTTTCTATGCACACCAATTCTCGAATATTAATCTTACCTTCCTCCCCCGCGCCGCGCCACTGCCGAAGGTGGAAACAATGATGCGCCGCCGCCGGAAATTTTGGTACTGGTGCACAGGTCTACCCTGAATCACTGATGCTTTCAAAAGGTCGAGCATTAAAACTCGACAAGAAATGCAACTGTGATATTGACGAGGCATCAGTCTGAGGTGGGTATAAAAGTAAGAGCACAAGAACACTGGAGTATAAGCGGCAAGGATGCAATGCCAGTAAACAGCCTTGTAAGAACAGCAACAACAATGCATGTGTGCCTATGCATGCACACATTGTAGTATGTGTATTTGTGCTTGCACGCATTGCAACCAAAAGCATGTGCAGTAAGATATTTGTGAGGTGCATGCGATTTCATTTTCTTTTTTTTTTTTTTTGTGCAGGGCGGTCTACCTATTCCAGTACCTGCCGTCAACACGTGAGATCGTTTGTACGCATCTCGCAGATGCTGGCGAGTTTGCTGTGCTTCCGGACTGGTACCTGCAGACATTTGATGACTCGTGATGTGCACTTTCCAAATGCTTGTTATGACTGACATGTTCTTTCGGTGTGCATTGTGCCCAGTGTTCTGTCTTATCGCTCTCTTCTATCGGTCTGTCGGTCCATGCAATGTTGAGAGCTTTTGTTCCAAGACAGACAGTGCAGCAGACGACAGACGCAAGAAGCAGAAGACGCTTGAATGTGCAGATGTTCAATACATACTGTACATACCGCCCACCACATAGATACGGTAGATCCTAAATATACAATTAGTCCGTCATGCTAAAATAACTTCAATATGTTCATCTTACTTGTTGACTCTTACATTGCAATAGAAACAAAGGAGTTTTTAGTTTACTGCTGTACATCAATCATATTCATGTTTGTTAATTGCAGTTCAACTGTAGGATATAGTGTGAAGCGCACACCAGAGGTGCAACAGCTGTGCCAATTTGATACACTTCCCAATTATTGCATCAAGCTGCACCAAAATGCCCAGCTTGCCTCAAAATTTTATCAGGTGTGCTAGTTTTGGCAAAAAATGCAGACCACGACGGCCACCTGCAGTTTGCGTCATCAGTCAAAGCGCACTGACCCTTGCTTTAATGCCTAGAATATACTTTAAATATTCTAGGTACCCACTTTACAGTCGCGAGACGTAATCAACCTCATAATGTAAAAACGCTGCATGCCCATCCGTTCGCTGACCACAGCGAATACCTATGGCAGGGACAATGGAACTTCAAAACAAAAATGCATTGCTGTAGCCACCAACGCTTTGTGGGAAATGTAAATTTTCTAGCCTCAAAACGCGACTATAGCATGTTAGAAACTAAAGCTGGAAGCAAGCGTATGCCGTGTTTTCCTGGCGCGAACAAGCTTAAAGTGCTGCGAACGCCGGAGTTGCCAGCGACCACGTTGATTGCTTTAGCTGAGACACATAAATCATTTTTTGTCTTGAAGTTGCATCATCTCAGCCACGGCCCTGGCAATAGATGTCCAATACCATCGCCGGCCAATGGGTGCATGCCGTTTTTACTTTACCCGGGCGAACGTGCCTTGCATTGGAGCCGAAGCGGCACCTAACGCCACGGTGAAAAAAAAAATATATGGCAAGTGTGTGTGTGTGTATGGACAAGGGGAGGTGTAGGGGTTAGAAAACTTATTGACTTGGGATTCCAAACCGTGCTCAGGATGCTGCTTAAACCACTTTCGCCGCTGTACACTGGTGCAGTGCGGAAAAGTGTATTGAGATTTGGAAGGGTCTGTTAGCACTTGTCACGGGACACTGCACATTTCGTTCAATTACTAATGTGTTTGTGCACCGCATAATTCAGAGTACCGGTATAATAAATGACGTCTAAATAAGCTACTGAAAAACATTTGGAGCAGTGTAAGGCATTTCTGCTTCCTTAAAAAAGAAACTAAATATTGTGCACCAGTTTCTTTTTTTCACCTTCCCTACTCCTTGGTTATACGAATCACAAATTTTAAGGTCACGAGCTTGGCAGATCCATATTTAAACTAAACGAGTCTGTAAAATGATTTGACAGGTGCAGCAAATACTAATATGGACTTTATTATTGTTTGCTCTGCACGATTAACGTAAGGTTGAATAGTTTATACATATTTTTTGTTCTAAATATAAGCCTTCTTCTTTCTACTGCTGCAAATTTGGTGTTTCATAATAAAAAAATGGATGTTTTTTCCCGCATCTTGCTCCAAATATAGATTTTAGTGCTCTAAAACTAACATTTAACTGCTTCAAAAATTGCTCCAAATTGTATTTTGGCTGTTGCACCCCTGGCACACATTATCAGCATTATTTCCGGCTTGATTTTATCTAAATTTTACACAAAAGTATAGTTCTACAGTGAATTCATACTAACAACACAACTGCATGCATTTCTTGCCTGTATTGTTTGCAATAAAGCAAAGTGTGCATTGTTTGGCATTAGAAAAAACTGTAGACGCTGCTGGAACAAAACGGTAGTGTCGTTAGACACCATTCGATTGAGTCTTGGCACTCCATGACCATAACTGGCGCACTGTTGGCACCAGTTTGGTGCTGCTCCATCAGTTTCACGACTAGCACATCATTCATGCACATTCCATTTGAAAAGATAGCCTTGACTTTCTTCCTTCACATTGTGTGTGCCTCTGCAGAGGTTTTAAATGCAAAAAAAAAAAAATCCTTAATTTGTACTTTACGCAACAGACAGTTTCTTTTTTGAATTTAGGTGTACTGTATTTACTCACATAGTAGGCACACTTTCTCTCCAGAAAATCCGGCTTCAAGTTTGAGATGCACCTATTTCGCTGGGTAAAATTTTCTAAAATTTAATTTCCAACTACAGCATCAGATAACGTATACATTGCTGAAGTCGTGAATATCAGCACTACGACCCAAAACAGTCTTCACAGGCTACACTAGCCCAAAACCTGGTGAGCATGCAGTATCGTGTGTCCTAAAATTAAGGCATTACATGTGGTGTGTATTCAAATTTCCAAAAAATTAGCATCCAAAGATCCGCGTAGCAACAAAAGGAACGTAAAAAAAGCTGTGCAACGAAAACGCCATTGCGGATACTCACCGATTACGTTTCAGGCCATCTAAACTATGCAAGTTATCGCGACCGAAGTTTTGTGCTCTGAACGGTATTGATCGTTAGGTTTCACAGGCTTGCACCTTAGATTCAAGACATTGCAGTCAAATCGCGAACCACCATTAAAGTGTTACAAGTGCCACCCAAGCCCCCTTTTCTTCCACTGAAGCTACCGAAAAGAGTTACATTGATTCCGTACAAAAACTGCAACTTTAAACACCCGCTACCAAAAAGCAACCAACGCTGATTAGGGCTAGCGTGTGGCTGAGTACATTGTCGCGGCCAGTTTGTACAAGACACCATGAAGACTTGGGGTCGAAAAAATTGCACTCAAGCACTGATCCAAGAGCAGCAAGTGTGATACAATATCTAGGTTCGTGGCCAGGAAATCCACAGTGAGAAAAATCTATTGAGCTTGTGCAAGTCCGCATAGTGGCAGCAAAGGCAAAAGCTCACCTCAGAAAGCGGAAAAGTTTAAATTTGCAGACTGTCGTGGTTAGGTTCTTCACAAAGCAAGGCGTGTGACGCGAGGAAGATAGAGACAGTGAGGAAAACAAAAGGGAGTTATATTGGACGAACAAAAAAACTATTGCACATACAGTACTATAAGTCGTACACGCATGCAGTTCACACACTAAAGAAAAGAGTAAACAGTCTCACAGTCTGTGCAGTAGCCCGGTGCCTTGAAGTGGGACCCGTTGCGTGCTCGGATGCTATCGTCGCTTGGGTGCCAGGTCAGCATATCATTGTAGAGGGCATCACCAGGTCTAGGCGTAGCCGCACACTGTCAGCGACGTCGGCTCAGTGGACGTGGTCAGCAGCTCTGGTCTTTCGAGGGCGCTCGCCGTACCGGAGATGTCCGCAGGACCACTGACCCAGAACTCGAGCCTGGCCACGCCGACACGCCGTGCCCCGAGGACGTCAATGGCTCGAGGACTGGAACTTGGCCTTTCGAACCTCGCGCGTAGTTGCGAGTTCGCCCTAGGTCAACTTGCGTCAACCCTTGCGTCAACTTGCCGGCGTCCGAACAGCTTCGTTCTCCGCGAGCGTCTCCTTTTCTTTTTTCAGTGGGCGCGCTGCAATGCCCCTTCATTCTTCTCATCTTCCAGGTGATGTGGCGCTGTCGTCTGCTATGCTCGGATTTTTTTAAGCTACTACATCACACAGACGAAATGGGGAACCTGATAATGACACTCACCTCGACAGAATGCGCACTGTAGGAGGATGTGACCGTGCGTTCCATGCGAAGCGTGTGTGGCCGGAGCCACGCCGGTGCAAAGGTTACTCGACACTCGGGCAACTACCCTACTTCTGCACTTGGCGAGCCCGCGGAGCTGTCACAGACATTTATTGTAATAACAATTTTATGACCTCTCTCGGCTGGATTTCGTCACCGTCCTCTGTGTTGACATTGGTGACCGCCGTCATTCACCATATATGTATATATATTTATGTATATATATATATATATATATATATATATATATATATATATATATATATATATATATATATATATATATATATATATATAATAAAAGTAACTCAAAGAAAGACCTTGGCGCACGGAATAGATCGTCCGACCTCTTGGTTGTGAGTAGCCACTGAGCCACGAAGGAGCACCTGCTTCAACTGCGTCCCTTCATCTGTTCATTTGTATGCCAACGACAGTGTGCTTTACAGGGAAATGCGTACCGGTGATGATAAGAACGTCCTGCAGACAGACTTGAACAACATTGGGAATTGGTGTGCTAAATGGCTAATAAAATTAAATCCCAACAAATTCAAACTAATGACATTCTCCTGCCGGCTCAATAGCTCCTCAACATACAAACTGGGTGATGTTTCTCGTGATCAAGTGTCGTCATATCGGTACTTAGGCGGCACCATTTCTTTCAATCTATCATGGAATGCTCATATTAACGTCATCACGAACAATGCTATCCGTACATTTGGATACATACTTCGTAATTTCAGCAAAGCCCCACTTTCCCTCAAGATGCTCTTTTATAAAACCCTTGTGCGCAAAAAGTTGGAGTACGCTGCTACAATATGGAACCCTCACCACAAAAATTTGAGCAAGTAACTTGAGCTCACTCAAAATAACCCTGCACGTCTTTTTCTATCAGATTATCACCGTAAATCAAGCGTAACAGCAATGAAACACCATTTGTCACTGAAACCTTTATCACTACGTCATAAGTATTTCCGCCTTTGCCTTTTCAATAAGACCTACCATCATTCATTACTGCATAGAGAGCTGATTATACCTCCCACATAGCATTCCTCTCGCTTTGACCACAAACACAAGGTTAAAGATACTTTTTGCTACACAAACACATTTTCTTGCTCCTTCATACCGGTCACATCAAACAATTGGAATCATCTACCAGGTGACATCATTTCTCTTTCTCATCATTCCCTCTTTCGTCATCCTTTATCAGCTCACCTACTTCCCGATATCTCCTAGTCATCCTGTGTTTTTCCCCTTCACATGACTTTCTGCTTACACGTGTCAAGATGCTGGCATTTTCCAGCAGGTTCTTGATTTTTTTCTTTTTCATTTTACATTTGTTGCTTGTATTGTATAACTTTACCACATTCACTATTTTCTATTTGTGATTCCCTTAAATTTTTTTTCCGTTTTACTGAATAGAGATGTTATTTTGCTTTAGTTTTATTCATGTACAAAATATAGCACATTTCATTATGCTGTTTTGTATTTTTTGTGTTGTAACTTGCTCTCCTCTTTAATTCTTCGGTGATTGAGGGTAACAAAAATAAATAAACATTGAAACGGCAAGCTACAGTAAAACCTTGTTAATTGGAAGTCACTGGGACTGTGACAAATCTTCAAATTAAGCGGGTTTTCAAATTAACAGAACATACACAAAGTGGAATGCAAGAAACTTGAAATTATTTAAATTAATAATGGCTGGTCGTCTGCTATGCAGACTAGTTTGTGGCTCCAAGGGTCATGTTTTCCAGCAATACGTGATCACATTTTTGCCACAAACAAGGGGGGATTCTTGGCCTAACCGCTTTCACTGAGGAAAAAAAAAAGACTTGATCAACTAAAACGCGCACCTGCAAAAAACAAGACATTTCATTGCAACACAGTAGTGACACGCGGGAAGCATGTTGCTTGCTCCTTGCTGCGTCAACACGTCATATGCGACCATTTGTCCTTTTTTTTTTTTGGTAAAATAAAGAAATAATTAACGAACAGTGTGATGAAATTTGTGATGTGTTTTGGCTGGAAAACATCATTATTGAAGCTTTCGGCCCGGGTTTTCGAAGTAGGCTTTGCAAGCAAAAACTTCGTCAGCAGTGCAGGTGCGCGAATCGCTGGAGCACCTGGCACTCGGAGGTTGTATCCATCGCGAATTTCTCCAGGCGGTCCTCTATTACTTTCTTTCAATTCCTGGAGAGAATGAATAAATAGTGACGGGCTGACGTTGCGAGAAGCATGCGACATGCTGCCCACATGTATAGCAGTGAAGCACATTTTGTTTTCCGCAGGCGCACATTTTAGCTGATCACGAGGCCTTTTTTTTTTAGAATTTTATTTTTCCTGCTGGAAGTAGCAAGGCAGGAGTGCTTCATAATGCTTAGCTACTACTCATTAGTATCGCTAGAGCACATTGCCTAGTGGCTCTTAAGCACCGTCGCTTTCAGTGAATTCGCGGCTGAAATCGGAATCAAGAATTCGCGCACTGCGCCCAAAGTTTCTGAATTAACCGGACTTGTGCTAAAATTAACCGCTCAAACTTGCATTTCAACATATGGGACCGCAGAAGTACTTCGAATCAAGCAGGATTTCTAAATAACCGAGTTCAAATTAACGAGGTTTTACTGTATTTATATCTACCACTTACCGCTGTCAATGGCGATCTCAGGGGAACTGTCGTGTTTTCAGCATTAGCAGACAGATGGTGAAATGAGCACCCGTCGCCAAATCGTCACGACGCGGCAACGCGCACTGATGCGTGCAACTCCCACGCATACTGTGCCCCACGGAGGAGAGGGGGTAGGCGTTTGCACGCGCTAATCTTACGGTGGGGAGAGTTGTACACTTTGGGTTTTCACCAGAACGGTTCTGTTGTAGCTAACGGGTGCACGAAGATCACTGCACTCGTTACATAGTCACCATTTGTGAAAAGGGTGCACTTTTCAGACACAGCAAAGTAACCACTGAGACACTTATTCGCATTCATCTGTCTGTACCTGCGAGTATGTTTTGTGCGTCATTTGTGCGGGAACAGGGTGTTTACCAACCTGCAAAAGTCAGGGAATTTGTACTCTTCTGGAAAAGTAGGGGATTTCTTGGAAAATCTAGCCTGAGCATAGAAACTTGCAGCAGTCTGTGCGATCATCCCAAAAATGGGCATTACCATTCATCTAAGCTTAAAAAGCCACTGCTTCGACCACAACTACAGTGAGCAGCAAGAAGATGCATGGAAAAATAAAAAGCTGCGCGTAGCTGTTGCTTCTTAGTATACACACGAAAGGATACACATACCAAAGGAATATAAAGTCTACTGATGTTTTGGTACCCGCTACGGGAGCCTTGTTCACAATAATAGCCCTGGGAAAGGCGCATGGTAATTAAGTATGCCTAAGTATGTGACAATAAGCACCCGGACTACATTGTTGAAAGTGTCCCATCACTCCTGCATAGCCTAACGGCAGTTGTCTATGTGCTGGTATTCCAGGCGCAGGCAGATGCAAGCTTTTCTTCGGCCAGAACGCACGCACTTGACCAGTCATGTTTGGTGGCCTGTAGATCCCATGTGTTTAGCCAGGGCATATGAGGTCACACATTGTTTTCTGGCATCATATATTTGTGTTGTTCAACTTTTTTCTTGGAATGAGTAATCTCACTGATGTACTAGTTGTTACAACTGTG